TTGAGTACTGGGTACTAGTGATTTTGGTAGAGCTAATGGTTAGGGTGGTGTGGTCTTTGACTCAGGCTACATGCCCAGACAAAGTGTGAATTTAAGTGGATTTAGAATTGCCTTCCATTTTTGCTCTCTCCTACACAGAGCTTTCTGTGGTGTGTTCCTTTCTGTGGGACATAGGATTTGGGCAATGCTCGGTTAAACAAAGTTAAAAGTGCTTTGCTGCAAGATTTCTTGTAACCTTCAATGTGGTAATAACTCTTCAAGAGAGATGCAGTACTGATCATCTGCTAAACTTACTTAGCTCAGAAGCCTTTCTAGCAAAGCATCTTATGGAACCAAGTTTTTCAGATCATACTTTAGAAAACACTATAGTAATTCACCCACTGCATTGCCAATGTAAAAAAGTGTAAATCAGCTTAATTTTTTTTAATGGCAGCCATTGTCTATGGATATAGTCTAAACTTCTGGATGGCCTTGAACAATCGGCTCCTGCTTATCTCTCCAACCTCAGCTTCATGTCTGATCACACCATCTCACATTCACAACCATGCAAGAGGGAGCCACTGGTGGATTTTTCTGGAAAAGCCTTCTTAGACCCCCAAGCATGCACTCTTTTACTGGTTCCTAGGTCCACCCCATGTTAATCCCATCACAGTATCTACTGCCCTGATTCTAGTTGGCTGCCTTTAAGGTTGGGACTGTGTTCTATACACTGTTATGCTGTATACTTGGTGTCTACCAGTGCCTGGCACACAGAAGGCCATAAATATATTTGTAGAATTATTGAAATGGTAGCTATTGCTGGACAGTTAGGAGAATATCCCACTGCTGCTAGTACTTCTGGAATGCCTGGGCCCCACTCTTCAAGCATATATAAAAGTTTGCTTACTCATACCTGGGCAGCAGAAAGTTTCCAGTCTACCTTGGTCACCAATGTATTCTTTTAGAGTACAATTATGAAGCCAGTTTTATTGATCCACAGTAAAAGGGAAGCTGAGTTGGCATACAGACTGGAATTTCTACACAAAGATCTCTTTCTTGTCACTGGAACACTAGGCCCTAACATATGGACATGGGAGGATGACACAGAGTTGGCCAAAAAGGAAAGGGAACCTGGTTCAACTCCTCAGAACTGCCAACTTTGGCTCAGAGCCAGAGCTGCAGGGCAACCTGGTACAGGTACTTATTCTTCAAGCCTTTCTCTCTTTGGCATCCAGAGAGATATAAAGTCTGGGGATGCCACCATAGGAATTTCTTTCTCGTCGCTGCTATGGCATCGCAGGGTTTTTTTTGCCATTCAAGAGCAATAGCTTTGATGATATGTCTGTTATAGCTCCCATCCTAAAGTTTTGCTTCGTAGTGGGCTCAAATAAAAGTCAAAGATCGTTGTATTATCAGTGCCTGGTAGTGAGAAGCAACTAAAATTGCTTCCCTAAAATGTGGCTTTCCCTATGACTTTCAAGGAGTTCTTTCAGATGGTGACCAAGAAAGCTGACAATCTTGCCATATATCATGAATATACATCACTAGAGTCCTGAAGTATCCAGCGTAAAGGTCTCTGTTTCTTCTAAGGTCAGTGGAGTAGATTATCATCTCTGTTTCAAGGTGACTGGCCTATGTTGCTCAAGACTGAAGTCTTGTTCACTTCCTGCTCTTTCTTCTAAATTGCCCTGCACAATTACGATGGGGTTTCTGACCTCTGACCTCAAGTATGTCACAGCGGAGTACTGCACAGGTCAGTTTTCTCAGACTCTTCCCCTACTTGCCTTCACAGTCCTTCCTTTCCCACACTTTGGTCTTGGAGGTTGTGGCTGTTATTCCCACCATCTTGAAGAGATAAAAGATGGGTGCCTTTGTGTGTTTGTGTGTGTGTGTGTTTGTGTACACATATCCCACGAAAAGTCAATTTCCCTTTTGGGTATAGCCCACTCAGCACTAAAATTGGGCAGCAAAGTATACTGTGGTTGTGCAGGAATAGCCCCATGTGTCACTGGGGAGCTCTGAGGTAAAACCACAAAATATGCTTCCCCACCTGCCGGTCCCCCAAAGGGAAGGGTGCAAATTCTTGCATATTTTTGGTTTCCCTTCACAATAGAAAAGGTCAGCTCTCGTTGGGATTACATGGTGCTGCTGCTACTGTTGTCTTGTTTTTCTCAGAAGGAAACACTCAATGAAAAATTAAATTCTGAGTTGTAGGAAAAAGCTAGAACGAGAACCCAAGTGTCAAAACTGAAGACCCAGTGCTTAAGACCCTCAAAGATGTTGCCTCCGTAAATCAAGCTGGAGTTTTGTGTGGGTGATGTAGGTGGGTGGGATCGGAGGGGGGCTGAGAATTAACTACAGTGGAGAGAGAGCAGAGTAAACGCAGAGCCGTAGCTTCCCCTCTGTGGTGAAGCCATGTGTTTCCTGAGTTAATAGAGATATTATTTAGTGAATATGTAAAAAAACACAAAGGCCATTTCACTACTTCTTTTTCTTATAATGTTTTACATGTTTTAGAGTCAGAACAGACTCATTTGCTATAGAACTAATTCAGTTCAATTTTCTGACTGAGACTTGAAAGGGGGACAATTTTGACACAGAAGTTTGTATATTAACTAGATAGCCCTCAGAAAAGGTAAGGCGACTTCAGTGAAAGATACTTTCATGTTGATTTTACTACTTAAAGGTAGCCTCACACCATGTTAAATAATATTTTGCTGCCCATTTTACCATATAATCCACGGGATGTTCACCATGTATACCTGATTAATTGAAGAAAAATATAACTTCTTATCACTGACATTATGAGGTTAGAAATAGCATCCTATGCTAATCTGCAATGCCAAGAAATGAAGATGGTTTAAATCAGATCTCATGACTAATGCATAAGATCTAAAGTTCTTTTATTCCTGGCTATTTTAGAAAACTGGGGTGTATTTTTACCCTAAAAACTAATTCTATAAGATTTATTGAGATAATACAAAATGACTTATAATTAACATCTCACAATCAAGGTTTGTGGCCTACGGATTATCACAGAAACACTAACAGTTTCTCCATCTGAATTTCAAAAAAATTATGTATATGCAATGGTTTAAGTTCAGTTTCAAGGATATTTTATCCTTAGTTGTTGTTTTTAGATATTCAATATCTGGAAAGATGATTTGCGATAATAAAATGGAAAGTTCAAATTTCTTTCTGCAGTTGCTATTCCATTTTAATTGTATTCACTGGAATTCATAGAAATAGAAAGAAACATATCCAGCAATAATGTAAGCCTGTTATTTTTGCTTGTTTTTGTTTTGGTCATGACAAACTGTGAAGTGCTGTGTTTTTCCTGTAGTTCTAGTCTATGAAATCTGTAATCTTTCCACTTGATTTACGAAGGACCCTTAATTACTGCTGTCATTAGCACCTAGTGTTCAAAACAGTCTGTTAAAATGTCTCACCTCCAAGTCCTTGCCTGCTTTATTTTAATTTTTTCCAGGGGTAAGTAAAATAATTGCCTTAATAACAACAATCATTACGTACATCAAATTAAATAATATCCCAAGTTTTTTGCTGCTTATTTCTATTTATTCAGAATCTGGTATCTGTGTTAAGAGTGGCCTAGAGTTTGAACAAGTGTGTGTAAGCAGGGTGATTACTAGCGAGGACTTATTACCTGGGTTTAAAAAACAAGTCACTCATTTGCCTTTTTCTTTCCACATGGATAGGGATGACAGACAACTGCTGCGAAGCTTCAATGTTTCTGCCTGGTCATGCACAGTTCTGCAATATAATGCATAAATGTGTAACAACAACTTGGGCTTGCTTGATACCTCTGTTGGAATAAGGAAATCCAGCCAGGCGCGTCCCCGAAGCCGTCCGCGCGCGCCCCGTTCCCCCCTCCCCACCCCCACCGCGGTCAAAAGTTGATTAATTCTTGAGGTCCCCCAGAATCTTTTCCTCCTTTCTGGCAGCTCCGGCTTCCCAGTCAGGGGAGTAGGGACGGTGGGGGCGGGGGAGGGCGAGGCTCGGGAGGCGGGGGCCGGGTGCCGGTGCCTGCCGCGCCCGCTCCTGCCGGGTGAGAGTCCGGGCCGGGTTTTGCGCCGTGTCCCGGGGCCTGTCTCACGGCCTCCAGCCGCTGCCGTGTTTACTGAGCTCGCGCGTCCTGATATCACTCCGCTGGCATGGAGGAGGAGGAGGAGGTGGAGGAGCGAGAGGAGGAGGAGGCGGCGGCGGCGGCGGCGGCGAGCAGTTGATCATTGTGATGGTGGCAGGAGCGGCGGCGGCGGCGGCAGCGGCAGCCCGGCCGAGCGTTCGGGGCTGCTCTCCGCGCGGCGTTTTGCAAAGGACTTCACCGATCTACTTTTGCAGTCGCCTCGGACTGTCCATGTGTTTACTTCCCCCAGCCCGAGGATTCGATATCTAGGTTCCTGTGAAATGCAACTGAGCAGCCAAAGTACTTTGAGAACACGGGGCGGCATAAACACCAAAACTTTTTTGTGGAAGGAAAATGCAATAAGCAAGCTTGCCGTTTTCCGATGCGGTGTGGAGTGAGTGTGTGTCGCGCGTGTCCGCACTGGAGGCATATGCTTGTGTGTGTACATGGGGTGTGTTTTTCGGTACGTAGGGAGCAAATGCTTGCCAACCACCGGAAATCTCCTGGAATTTATTAGAAAATAATGGATTATAAAAAGAAGGCAGGCGAGGAGCGGATCTCCCCTTGACTTGCAACCCGATTTGCTGCTGGCTCAGTTTGTTGTGATTCTTTTTGTTGATAGGTGTCTGATGGTATTCCGATAACACCCCCCCTTTTTTTCCCCCTCGAGCTTTACAGTTTAAAAAAAGGAAACAAAAAACCCACCCCAAAATCTCTCCCCCCTTTTTTTCGCCCCGTCGGGATCGCCGTTTCCATCCATGTGCTTGCGTCTCCCCCGCGTTCCACTTAAACTATTTTAATCCTTGGACCCAAGGAGGAGGCTGATAGGGGGGTGGATAAAAAAAGTTCTTCCAAAATAGTGTGCCCGGGGAGCAGGATGGGGGATTTCGCAGCCCCCGCTGCTGCCGCGAATGGCAGTAGTATTTGCATCAACAGTAGCCTGAACAGCAGCCTCGGCGGGGCCGGGATCGGTGTGAATAATACTCCCAATAGTACTCCCGCTGCTCCGAGTAGCAATCACCCCGCTGCCGGCGGCTGC